TCCAAAAGTAGTTATCGACCAGTATTATTTATTAATTATTAAGGGTCTGAAATTCATTCACGTAGAAGTCAAATAACAGATAAGTGTTTTTGTGTGGGCTATTACTCATATTTTGTTATTCACAGCGATGGAAAACTAAGTAAAATAAAACGCTTAAAACAACAAACACAATTGTGCGATTTTACATATAAAACTACTAGGTCTTCTTTATACTAACGCATGTAAGTACATAGTGGTATCTGCATATGTGTGTTATTGTGTGGGCTATTACTCATATTTTGTTATTCACTTCGATACGAAACCAAGGAAAATAAAACGGTAAAAACAATGATAAATAGTTGCGTGTAATTTACACGCAGTACTTCAATGTATTTTATATACTAACGCATTTCATAGTATGAAAAATTTGAGTACATAGACCGTTGTTAAGTATTTTTGTTACTCGTGTTTTATTTTTCACATCGATACGAATTTAAGGTAAATATGACGCAAAAAAAAAACATATATTACCTACCATCGGTTGCTTATACACTTTGTCGTTTGTTATAACATACTAGCACATTTCGTACAACGAAAATTCTGAGTACAAAAAAAGACTAAATACACAATCGACTGTAAACCCAAATTTAGGCCTCCGATTAAAGAGAAAAAAAAGCCAGTATAGTAGGGTTGGGGTATAGTGGGGAGATGGAGGTCATAGTTCTACAGGAATAATAGGTACTATTATAACTGAAAGTGATAAAACTACTTTTAAATAAACGCTTCGATGCGAGTCTGTGAACGGTGCAGGTTTAAACCAGTACAGTCCAAACCAAGCACAGTAAGAAAGTGTTATACGTAAATGGGTAGAGGTACTACACCCACGACTGTCCACCTTCTAGGGCTAAATTAAGACACCCCAGCCGGGACAGGAAGCTACCCTGTATCTACCCTAAAATATCCCTAGAGACTCTTTGTAAATCTATATAACCACCCAAAAGGGCCGGTCGTACCATTAAGTGAATTAACTAAACTCTCAAATTGCAACGTACAATATTTATTATTTATTTAAAAAGGCGTTGAGCCGATTAAGAATTAAGTTATTGATTAAAATATTAAAATGAATAAAAAAAATATGCATAAATATATATATATATATATAAAGGTTTTACACCTGTTACCTGGTCCGTGGTAATCCGGAGATAAAGCAGGCGGAGTGACTCGCATAAAAAATATATAAGGTGCCGAATAATTAGGTAATTACTAAATAAGATATTAGCGCGTAGATGGTAAGAAGTCAACTAATTAGTATGTAGGTGGATTCAAATGCTGTCCACTCGCACGAGACATGTCACTCCCTCTCCTCTAGTTATTATAATATTATATTTATAATGTGCGCCCAGACCAGGGTGCTGTCCGACATATTAGACTTCATAGGTTTGGTTTGAAAGTAACGATATGGAGTCCACCCATGGACAATATTATTATTACTAATGTCAGACAAATGCCATGGTTACATAAGTAAGTAAGTAAGATAAACTTTGTAAAATGAACTATTAAATCGGGTGAAAATATTTTTGTGAGTCTGCCTCGCCCGCAGAGGTAAACAGATTTTTCTTGTTTATAGTTGTAATTTTGTTGAATAAACGGCATCGGAGACCGGAGGAAAGTAATGCCCCACTGGGTAGTCCTCCTCTGATTCTCTACGGATGCACATAAAAGAAAAAAAAAGGCAGGTCCAGTGTTCACAGATAAAAAAATACAATTATCGATAAAAGCGTTGTATTTTATGACAATTATGTGCTAAAAATTATTTTTTAGTATTTGGGGAGGTACAATTAAAATTTATCTTCCGACTATAAAAATGGATTGCCATAGTTACCCCCCTACCTATATCATTAACAATATAATGAAAATATCTTCATTACCAGCTTGATTCATTCCTACATGCCAACCTGGAAACTGACTACAGTCAAAGTGTTCTTTTTCCCTTGTTTTTTTTTTGGGGGGGGGGGTTTCCCTAATAAAAAAAAACTCTGACTTCAGATTTTTTTGAGATTATTGAATACTATGTTATAGCCCCATTCTTGAACTACCTTAGGTTAGGTTTTAGACTTTTAGACTCTTAACATTCAAATGCTATTAAGTAATTTAATTTCGAAAATAATAATAAGAAATTTAAAAAATTAATTTTTAAAACAAAATTTTAGTTACCTAATAGAAAGTGTATGCAAATTATTTTTATTTAAAACTTTATAATATGAACATATAGGCATCACATTTTTTACTTAACCTAACCTGACAATTTTTACCCGTTTGTAGAAGAATCTCCTTCTAATATGCTGAGTTGTTGTGTAGAACAAAAATTATATAATTTATGAACGCTTAGGAGCATTTGAAGCTTGATTAGTTTGAACGGATGAATAAATATAGTTCCACTAAGAAACTAGTGTCTCAATACGTCTTATCGCTAACCTAACCCTTAGTTTCTAAGCCCACGACTTATAAACTATAACGTCTTATCACTAATTCCTAGTGAAAATAAGAAGGGTAGGAGGAATTGGGGGAAGTAGACACATATTCGTGATATAATGTCTTCCGGAAAGATTGACAAATGATTTTATTTATGGTAAAAATATTCTAGAAAGTGCAACAAAGATGTTATTATTGAGATGTTTGTCACGAAGGAACAATTTTAACTAGGTCAGTGTGTATGAAAGAGTGATTGTTAGGTATGGTATAAGATAGACGAGAGTAAAGAACAGAAGCATAAGATGGGAGAGAGAGAACAGAATTATTTAATTAGGTATGCAGCCCACCATTTACTAAAAAACATAAGCCTAAAGAAAAATGTAGTTGACTTTTGGCGTCAGTCGATATTTCAAATTACACTCGACCACGCTTTGAGTGACATGTTTTTTAGTAAAAAAACCAAAAACAGTGTGTAGAAAATATTAAAACAACACATGTGTCTAAGACGAAAACAAAATATCTCTCATCGCTTCAAATCGGGTCGAACCCAGAAAGTATGCATAGCTTACAATTTACCGTTAAATTTGCAAATAAAATATACGCTTGCTTTTTAAACAAAAATATTTTGTAAAAACATATTTGTTCAGAACATTTGTTTGTTTTCATTCCGATAAAACTAGAAATCGCAGAGAGAGATTTTCATTCAATTAATTTTGTTCCCGAGTTAATAGAATCGCATATATTAGACCACGGTTACATTGAATCCACGAACACCGTTAAAATATATTTTGACTCGGGTAATTTTAGAATAGGAATAAAAAAAATAAAATATTAAGATAAAATATCACTTACGAAGTCGTCCGACCAGGAATCGTGCGAGGATAGGATTAAAACTGAAAGTTAAAAATGATCAATAAAATTGTAAATATTGAGCACTGTTAAATACCGAAGTATCGAGCACTGACATAATACAGACAATCCTATTTTATAAGATCAAAAGATAATTTTAATAAATGACTCCCCGGGTATTTCTGCAACCTTTCTCCGTATTGCCCATAAAGCCAACCCAAGAGGTCCCTTCCATATTTTATCATACGCTTAGCTAATTATTTTTTGTAAATGAAGAGGTAATAAGCATGTTAGAGGATTCAGACATAATAGCTACAATGAAAAGTGAAAGGATAAGCTGGGCCGGGCACGTATGGCAAAGTCGAGAACAGACAATCGGTCAAGTCGCCAGCTGGAAGCTGAAGAGCAAAAGACCGCTCGGCCGTCTAAGACAAAGATGGGTGGACAGGCTCCACAAAGACCCGGTGAAGAGCTAGCCACAGATAGAGACCTAAATGGTCTATACTAAGCCATGAAATTATTTTTACCCCCGAAGTGTTTATATTAACCTTGAGATGCTTGTTTATAATGCTCATAAAAAGCATACATTTTTATGAGGTCAACACTTTTGATAACAATGAACTAATTAATTACCTTTCGGTGACACTTATAGTTATGATACTCAGAAAATATGTCGACGTTGCAAAATGTATAGATGTAGACTACTGACCTATATCAATACATACGATAGTGTACCTGTGATGACATTGGAATTTTAATGGGTTTTCAATTATTAGTGGCAACTTCGTTTGACGGCCACAATCGGAATTTTATAGATTACTGTTGTTTTTTAAAAAACCATTGTTTTATTGTGAAACGTTTGCTTCAGAGTAGTGTATAAGGGTAGTAATAATAACTGATAAATGTTTTATACCGAACACTCAAACTGTTAGTCGAAACATTTCTATGAATTTATTTTTAGTTTCTTACTAGTCCTTACTCTAAATTCAAAATAAATAGTACCATCCACGTGATACATAACTAACATTTAGACATTTATTTCTGTTTTACAAAATGTCATACTCAATCTGTTGTGTAAATAACGCCGGACACTCGACTTTATGATTTTAATTTTTTTTTTTATGATTTTTGATACCAACCTTTTAGGCAATGATTATTCAGATATTCCTTAAATCTAACAAGGCTCGACAAGGACAAAACAAGAATAAACAAAATTAACAGATTGCAAAAAATGTATTATCAATCATAAAACCAAACGTAATATTTCATTTAAAGTGAATACAAGTAATGTAACAGTAAAATATGTATAATAAAATAGATGCTTGACATCTATAAATCTTGGTAAGCGCGAAAAGAACTAAATATAATTATATTTTGAATTTGGTTAAACGACTAGAGCTTGAGCCGGTGCCTCCAAATATATGCAACGAAATTCCTATAGCATAAAAGAATTATGAAAAATTAAAAAAACAAATTACAGTCTACTTAAAGCCTAACGGCTAAAATTATAAAACATGGAACATGCTTTAGCCTGCTGGCTCCTGACAGTGATTATTTCTGATCTTTAATATCCTTGAGTTTTATGATGATAGTAAAGTCTTAATGATATGTTCTGACCAAACGTTTGCATGACGACAATGACTCGATATTATTTTGTTGGCTACTATATGTTATTATACGTTTAACGCAGGCGCGCTACTTTAGTATCGCAATTTAGTGTCGTTTTCAGGCTGAAGGGCCAAGGCTAAAGCATGTTTCATGCTAAAAAGAACACATATATCAATTGAACTGACACTGCATTCTGTACTGCGAAGGCCAGTAATACGAATGTACTGCATCGGCGTGGAATCAAATTCCAACAACTGCCAAGATCGTGTCAGCTTCTCAGTTCTGTCTGCAATCTTTGCCCATTCCTCATTATCGAGAGAAACTTCAACAGTATAACCGTAGGATTGATCATTTTCACCCCAGAGCAGCAACCTGTCAATTATAGCAGTAACAATATTGTCTTAGTTTAATAATGAATAAAAGTCATAAACAACAGAGAGAACTCAGCCAAGTTAAACCTTTGTTTTACACGTGAATAACCGGATGATGAAAAAAATTTTAACTTAATGATAATTTTAAATTACCATTGCTAATTGGTTTAATAAACCACAGATAAATTTACAAATAAAAAAAGAACACAATATATTATTATATTAATAAGTCTAGATAGAACAAATGCTATAATACAATTCGGGGAATGTGTGTTAACTACATCCTAGGAAGTTAATTTGCATCAAGGATCTTATCAAAAAGACAAAACATTTAATTAAGCACGATTGTGATAAATAGTTTTATGAGACTTAGGTGCTGTTAAGGAAATAAGAAACAAGACTTACAGAGTTCGTGTGAAAAATGTTAAGATAAATTATTTAATATACACCGTGTATGAATTCAAAAACTCAATCCAGAGACAGGGATTGATAAAACAAAATTGTCAAAATAAGGCTAATGTTGGCTTGTTCAGCATAGTAAATGGATTGCTTTAATCATTGCAAGATTTTTATACTATTACCTCATTGAACTAAGGATATATGGTTGTGCAAGATGGACCACTATGGAACCGGTTCCCAGCCGATGAAATGTGTATTTGGCATGTCTATGCGGGTTTTCAATGTACTTATCTAATAGCGATCTGTTATTAACACTATTTTCGCCTTCGATTACAGTTGCATAGTTAGATTTTGAAGCGACATTAAAATTGTCATTAGGAACTTGATGAAAATAATAAATTAGAAAAATTTACAAATTTACATATATTAGCATTTTTTGTATTCAAAAAAAGGGTTACTTTATTGGTTTTCTTACCGACTAGTCCGTTTTTAATTTTTACCATTTCCATTCCTGTTGTATTGTAATTGACGTTCAAAATTACAAAACTCGCATTAGCAGTACTGTTGGCTCCAACAATGCGTATATACCGAACTACTTGTGGTTCAATCCACAGCTGTTGAATTGATCGACAATTGTAATTCGAATGATCTATAACAAGTGTCCATTCGCTCTCATCTATTGAAACTTCAATGTAATACGAATAAAACCTAAAGTACCCAACAATTCGAATAACTTGTATAGTAGTGATTTGTAAAAAAATGCAAATACTTATAATTTAAAAACATACTTTGGTTTAATGTCACTTCCGTTAACATCCCCTAATATTATTTCAATATAGTTTATAAATGATAGAGTATTCAACTCCATCACAGTGGCACTGCCGTTAATTTCATTGGTATCTGTAAAAATCTGAGACAGTTCAACAAGATTCAGGTTGTTATCTAAAAAAATGAAATAATTAAAACCAACACGATTTGCGAATTACGAATATTAATGTGTACAGCAAGCGTACTTAGCTGTCCTCGAAATTTAGGCTTATCTGATGAACTCTTGTTTCTACATTGCACGGCATCTGCAAGTTTACTACCCAGTGTATTCCTGGCCTCGGAAAGTTCTTCGTTGTTCATTAACGGATATCTGACGGCGGATAAAATTTGGATTTTAGTTTCGGGATCGAGATTGTTTTGGTTCTTTTTGATCCAGCGACAAACCGCGCGGAATATAACTAATTCGTTGGCATAAAACGAGTCGCTGTTGAGAATTTCTAGAAGAGCATCCTAAAAACGAAGAATGCACATCAACTCTTTACCTATCGCGTTCAATATAATATAATGTTTCTGTTAAAAAAAAAAAAATCATTACTGCAGTCAATGACAGAAAGTCATCAGATCGCAATACTCCCAATGGGTTGCTATCGATAAAGTTGAGCGATTTGATTTCCAGATCATTGTATTGGTGAAGTCGTGTCATAACCAAGAATGAACATACATTGCATACTTCTATTACCGTTTCCAAATACACGCATAGTGTATATTTTAATTCTAAAATGAGCAATAAATCTGCAATACGTATTAGTTCGAAAACAGCATTACCCTAAAAAATATAACAATAAATAATGTAGTTAATATTTTTTATTAACCTGTTTTTCGATTAAACAAATAATTGTAGGTAGTTAATAGATCAAACACATACTATCGGCCAAACGATTACACAACTCTAATACAAATTATACAGGGTGATCCATTTACCGTGAACCACTCAATATCTCATAGGGTTTAATACGAAATTACAATTTTTTTTTTCATATTTTTTACATACAATGTGATATCAATTTTTCACAATTTTTTTTGTTTTTACCCACCTCCCAAACCCGGTTTTTTCGATAGCAGCTTTTAAAACTTAAATGGTAACGTATATATTTTATTAACTGTTTAATTTGAGAATAATGTACTAAAAATGTTGACTGGTCAATAACAAGTTTCGGATAACTACTTTTAAGGTTATAAGAGCTTTAAAGTTAGGATGGGAGGAGAAGTGTGGTTGGAAAATGCGCGCAGATAAAAATAATACTACACTCCACCTTTCCTCTTGCCACAAATTCAAAACTTCAAAAATAGTTATCCAAAACTGGTTATCGACCAGTTAAAATGTTTAGTAGGTACATTGTTTTCAATTCAAAAAGTTAATAAAATATGTACGTTACCATTTAAGTTTCGAAAACAATTGTGAAAAATTTAGATCACATTGTATAAAAACAATATAAAAAAAAAAATTGTAATTTCTTATTAAACCTGATAACATATTGAGTGTTCACGATAAGTGGATCACTCTGTATATATATATATGTATTTTTTTTTTAATTACCTCTTAAAATTAAAAAAAATTATATCTGAAAATTCTGATATTTTTTCTAAGTTTTAAACTAAGTTGGGTGGGGGGAGGGGTAAAAACAAAAAAAAATTATGAAAAATTGAGATCACGTTGTATAACAACGATATGAAAAAAAAATTAATTTCTTATTAAACCCTATGAGATATTGAGTGGGTTACGATAAGTGAATCACTCTGTATTATGCCGTTTAAAAACCGCTAAGCTACGTCGATTATTCTTTACCTCTAGATTATTTAAATTCATTCGACCAGAATAGATATAATAAAGCAGTATTTTAAAATAGGTTACTGGGACTTCATTAATGGTCATCACAGACTGATTGGCTTCTACAAGGAATCCAGAAAATGCTCTCCTAAAAATAATATTGCACAATATTACTACAAACGTTAAGTTATGGAGTAAAACGATAAAAATTGTACTCTTTGATTGGTAAGTTAGACGGTTGTACTCATTTCATTTTTGGTATGATGAAACCACTTGTTTCAGCTTAAGCCTTTTTGTCTCGCACCGTCCCATTTTACAATAATAAAATTTTTTTAATTTTTTTTACCCTCGTGTTGAACATCAATTAAATGGGCTTATGCCCAGTACCACAACAAAGTTGTATTAATTAACTAATTTATTTTTAGTATTTCTTTTTGTTTTTTTAATTTTTTTTTTTAAACTAGCGATCCGCTAAACGAGTCTTTAGTTTTATAATTTTAGTGTCAAAATATATAAAACAATTCTTTTCGATTTTATAAACGTCCGTCGGCATATTCCATTTAGTTTTAAAATATTTTGGATGGTCGCATTGTTAAAAATAAGTGGAAGTAATTAAAAAAATAGAGGTCTCGTTTTAGGTCATATCGTACCAGAAAGACTCAATGTAAAAAATTCTAAAGGGGCGAGGCTGTTGACCCGGTTTGATGAGGAATGCCCCAAATACAGGTAAATGAAGATTTAATTTATGCTCAAATTTTAGACGTGATGTTCAAAAACTAGAGCTACAAAAAAAAAAATATAATAAAAAAATAAATAGTTTTCATCCGCCCAAGACGAAAGGCCTAAGGAAATATACATAATAATAAGAATAATATACCTAAAATATTCACAGCGTGCGGCTAAAACAACACGATGGGCGTTTATTTTTTCTCCTTCTACTTCCAAAAGAACATCTGAAAATCTGAAACATTTATTAAAATTGTTTAATAATTCACATACGAATATAAATATTATCAATCAGTTATGTATAATTTCTGATTAAGATAGTTGGCTAAAATAATTATCATGGTTCGATGTTATCTTTGTGATTTATAGTCACTAGTTTATAATAGAAAATAATATAAGTAATAAACAATTTAGAGTAGTAAGAGAATGAAAAACAAAAAAAGGTGGGGGGGGGAGATAACCCAATTTTTTTTGACCGGTCAGTCAAAGCAATTTTTAAATAATACCTATACCATGTTTTGTCACTTTCTGTACTACCTAGTTAAAATCCAATAATAATTATCACACGAAAATTGGCAAAACAAGACACAATAATGGCTTAATTTTCCCATATAATTTCATATACAACATATTATAATTTAACTAAAAATACTGTAAACAAGACAAACTTTCTGAATTCCTGTCACTTACTCGATGCTTAGATATAGGTTGCTTATGTCCTTGATCAAGAATTCCGCATGGTTAATTTCCATCTTACTGTTTTTTTTAATGTTTTCCACTTGGGGTAGTGAATATTTTATGTTTGGAAAACCCAATAAATCTGAAGCACGAAGTAATTCAGAAACATCTGTTCCCTAAAATAAAAATAATAAAAACACATAACATAATTTAATAGAAAAAACAAATATTATAGGCCACACTATCACATAATGCTAATAAAAATTATATTATGGCGTTTATTCGTTACCTCTAGAGCACTGTAACGTATTCGACCAGTATAAATGTATTCATGAAGTATTCTAAATGTGTTTCCTGGAATGTCATTAATTGTCATCTTGGTCTCATTGAACTTTATAAGATCTTCAAAAAGAGTTTTCCTAAAAAAAAAAAAAAAACATATTATTACAAACATTAATTTATGAAGTAAAACGATATTATTTTGAGGGATGGGCTAGGCAATTGTACTCATATCATTTTTGATGTGACAAAACCATTTTCTAAACGACTATCAGCATATTCCATGTAGTTTCACAATGTTAAAAACAGTAGCAACGTTAAAACTACGTGGAAGTAATTTAAAAAACAGTGGTCTTATTTTAAGTCACATTGGACCAAAAAGTCTGATGGGCATTCTACGGGGTGAGCACAATGACCAGGTTTAATTAAATACCTAAAATGTGTGCTACGGGCGGCTAATACAATACGATGGGCGGGCAATGGTTTTCCATCTAAAACCAAATCAACATCTGAAAGCCTGAAATAAGTATTAAAATTGTTTAATAATATACATACGAATATATTAAGTATCACTTAACTATGGGTAATGTCTAATTAAGATAGTTTGTTAAAAAAAATGTTCTTACAAAAAATAAGTATCGATCTTATCTCAGTGACTTATAGTCATTAATTTAAATGAGACAATAATAATTTAGGTAATGAATAATTTAGAGCAAAAAGGATATAAAGAACAGAAAACGGGGAGAAGATGAACGTATTTATTATGACCGGTCAGTCAAATATAGTTTTAACTAACACTTGAATCATTTTTCGCCACTTTGTGTACTACCTAGTTTAAATCAACTAAGGGTAATTACACTAATTGGTGAAATGGGACGCACTAACGGCTTACTTTTTCAATCTTATTCCATATGTAACACATTACAATGTTAACATAGTAGAATACATTTAGTGCTATGGTATAAAAAACTGTAAACTAGACAAACTTGCTACATTTTTAAAATAATCAAGTTAATAGGTCCAAATGTAACACAGCATACTCGTTGCTTAGGTAGAGGTTGCTTAAGTCGTTGACCAATAATTGAGTATGATCGATTTCATCTGTACTGTGCGCTTTAAATAAAAAAAAAAAAAACAATTTATTTTTTTGGACTAGTTTGTATGATTTATTTATTCAGGCAGTATCTCCCCACCCTAATTTTAATTTTTTAACCACATGTTTATATAATACTTTAAATAATTCAATTTTGATAGTTTTATCGAACGCAACAGAATGTTTTAATAATTTTAACTATGATAACGGCCCTAGCATTTGGTCTAAAATATAATTATTTTAATGGGTACAATAAAGTTTTACCTTAGAAATAATTACAATTTTAAAATTACCTACAATTCAAGGGTTAGTTAATTTTAAGTTTTACTTGAATAGTTTAGGATGGTTTACTTAATTTTGGAAACTATTATTTTTAAGTAGGTATTAAAAAATAATAAATTTTATCTAGTAAATTTAAAGCACTAGTTAATTTTAAAAGTAAACTTGCATATTCTATTTAATTTAAAATTCTTTAAGATTTAATACAATAACAAATTGGTTATCATCAATAAGATCATACAGAAATAAATACACAGTTGGTCCAACTAAAATTTTGGTTCATAGAAATTTATAAGGGCATCCTAAATTTCTAGTTGAAGCATTTAGTTATTCCAACTAGAAAAGTATTGTGCCCAAGTATTAACCATAATTTTAATTGGACGAACTATGTATTTTTTTCCGTGCACTCAGTTTAAGTGAATGAGCAGAAGCCGCTAACTGTAAGAGGCTTAACCCGGAACCTAAACAAAAGATCCACGAAAGTGGACTGTATATAAAAAAACATTTTAGTAAATAACAACGTTTGTGATTGATGCTATAAAAATGATATTGCATTAAGCAAAAAACCAATATATAATAATACGAGACAATTTTACTTACTGTCTAGCCTGACTCTAGAACACATTTTTTCTACTTATAAACTAAAATATCATGTTGTTCAAAGTAATCCAGCTTCAGAGTAATAATTGGATTTTTTTTTTCATAGTGTTTTTATATAATCAATTTTCCATACATTTTTATGTTCCTACCCCTTCACAAATTAGTTTTTTTTTAATAGCAACTTTTGATTTTCATATGGGATATGTTTTTTTTTTAAAATTATGATTAAAACTAATTTGAGAGGGGGGGGGTACTAACATAAAAATTTGTAGAAAATTTAGATAAGATTATATAGGTATACAAGCTGTCCCGACCCGGCGTTGTCCGTGTATTAGTGTATTGACACACGATCAGCTGATCGGATCACTGTATCCCTGTGGTATGAAAAATGATATCGTAGATCTATTGATAGCTACTGATACTATTGATAATCATATAAATTTAATTTAAAAAAATATTTTTGGGGTGGACTACCCTTATCACTTAGGGGTATGAAAAATAGTTTTAGTCCTATTCTCAGACCTACTGAATATACACACAAAATTTCATTAGAATCGGTCAAGCCGTTTCGGAGGAGTTTTGTTACAAACACTGTGACACGAAAATTTTACATATATAAAGATATGTGTGTTTGTGTATGTATTATTAAAATACTAATTGGAAATATTAATAACTATGTTGGTTGCCGCCAAACAAACACTGACCACGATGTTTGCAGTTTGTATTTAATTATTTACTGATATCAGCCAGAAGAAACGTGTCAAAAACCGGTGACTGTGTGTGGACACAGCGAAGCCAAAGCGTCCCCCTCTCAGTTTGGGCGATACCATGATAAAAAAAAAAACTGTGTATCGACGTCGATGACAAAACGCACAAGCGGATAATGATATTTACAAAAGCTAGCAAGGCTGTTGCGCTTGGGCCAACGACAAGGCGGGGATTTGGTTAGGCCGAGACGGCAAGTGTGGGGCGACGATGGCCAATCATAAATGGCCACGCGAAATAAACGTATCAATTTAAAAATTGTACGACTTTTGGCTAACCAACAAAAATACCAGTGATGTCCTTGGATTACATGTTATAATAAACGAGCAAACGACAAAATACAACTTAACGTAAATTGTTATTTGCTAATTAATAGGTCATCTCACTAGGAATTAGTGTTCAGACGTATGAAAGTTATGATTAATTTACTAACATTTATAACATGAGTCATGTCCCTCGTACATCATACAAATGAAAATGTACAGTTTAATGCACGGTAAAAATGAAATATAATACAAACAACAATATCATAGCACAATAACACACAGATATAAAACATACCAAGTAGGCTGAATTCTCTAGTAAATTAAGCGATTGCTAAATGAAACATTTTATGAATCACACGGTTTCAACAATAATTATTAGCGTCATAGTGAAGAACAAAGTGTTTTGGCTAAACAACAAAAATGCCAGTAATATTGTTATACTTCTTGCACCACCCTCATATAATAAATGAGCAAACGACAAAATACAATAATTTAACCTATGTTGTTATTTGCTAATTAATAGGTACTTTCGTGAAAGTGATGTTGATTTATTTATTTATTTTTATATTTTGAGTCGTGTTCCTCGTACATCACACAACTAAAAATTTACACTATATTACACAATAATAATTGAATTAGTCGCATGGAAAAGAATAAAAAAGGCGAAAAAACTATTGTACTAAATAGGAACTTCAAAATAAAAATGTTAAAGAAAATAGAAAACTTTTACTAATCTTTCGATGATCTAAGCAAAAATGATAAATTACTTAGTAGTTAATTGTTTTTTTTTTTGTTATTATATATCATCCGCTGCAGATTAGTATATATTATTATATAATATATATACAAAAGCCCGCAGAGTTTTTAGTATTCTCCAATTTGTTATCAACTTTCGAAAGTTAAATGGTAACATACATATTATTGAAACAATTTTCAAAAATGTTGTTTTTTTTAAAAGTCGATAAAATAAAAATGGGATTACAATGAGTTACAAATGGGATTTTTATTTTGTGTGTGGTGTAAAATAATATTATTTAAAATGTTTCCGAAAAGAAATAACAAAATTTTAAATGTTTCAAAGTAAATGAGTATTTTTATAAATATTTATTTACTTAAAGTTTTTTTTTTCTTTTTTAGTGCCTTTTAATATCATCACTTATAATCAACGAGCCCATACCATATATAAAATGTTGCATTTGGCAAATGAGTATTTAACCAATAGATTTTAGATATTTTTAACATGAATGTGTTTTGGCCCGGTTACAAACAACAATTTGCGTAGACAAAAAAGCGTACCAGTATACAGCGTTTCATTTTCATATATTATTATAAATTTGTAAATTATTTAGATGTTTATAAAATATAATATGTACCTGGAGTTGACCATAAAATAATAAAGGCTAAGAAATAAAGCAGCATATTGTTAAAATACATGTTGAACACTTTACAAAACACTATAAAAAAAACCTTGTCAATAGATATTGTAAACCAGCTCGAATATGTAGTTTTATTACAATGGCGTACAATTTCTTTCTACACTTACCAGGCTATATTGTAAACGAGTCCCTGTGTTTACATAAAGTGTAAAGAAGTAAAAAAAAAAAAAATGTACTCGTATTGTTCAAATAATGAAAAAAAAATATGTTTTTATACTTAACGCAAAAAATATGAAGACTATACGTGTAAAAATTTAACGGGTTTAAAAAACAATAGATGATATATTTCTTAAAATTTTTACAAATACCATACCACATTGTGTGATTCGAATATACGAGTACCTATAAAAATGCTTAACATTGAAAAGTAAAAAAATCAAAAAAAAATCAATAGCGGCTTTGTCTTTTACAAAGATGTATTAACCACCCGAAATTATTGTACTTACTAATAACTAAAATTATTTTGGGCACCCATTTGTGTACGCTGGTATAAACTATACTCCATAGATACAAAACATAACAGATTTATTGAGTACCCATTTTACAATTAATACCCAACTTGTTTAGACCACAGCTACATAACGTACCATTTCCCTTATCACCTACTTTTGGACGTTCAGCTAAATAACTAAAAAGGGCGAACGGTCGTCGTTGGTAA